AATTCTTGTTCAATTGATCACTATGGGCCAACTGACCTGCTTTCATCCTCACCTGTCATCCTTCACTGGTACCCTGCCAGCGTATATCGATAGCACAGGCGGGGTTATCATTCCATCTTCATCCATAAAAAAAAGATTTACATGGCGTGTATATATACATAACTTTCAGTCCTTGTAGGAATGGTAGTACATGAATTTTACCATGTTAATAATGAACGACAAGTTCGTGTTTACAAACAACAATTACCATTTTTTTCTGATCGTCACCTTTTATACCAATTCTAGTACAAAGAAATATTTTTGAAAAAATTTCGGACGTTATTAGTACTAAAATTCATATATATATATATATATATATATATATATATATATATATATATATATATATATATATATATATATAATATATATATATATATATATATATATATATATAGTATTATGATGCAAAAATATTAAATTAGGTGAAGATGCCTAGACGTTTTTCAATAAATCACATTTCCTTATTATTATTATAACAATAACCCACTACTGGGTAACACAGCTGTCTCTATAAAAGACTCGTGGCTCTCATTAGGAAAGGATTTTCATTGAATGAAATTTGTCAGACTTTATTCCTCATGGAAATGGAAATGAAGATATGGTTCATCATCATCATCTTTTGAGTCTGTAACTATTCCCTGCTGGGCACAGGCCTTCTCCAATGCCTTCTACTGTATGCAATCCTCCGCTTTTCACATCCATTTATTTCTGACTATCTTCTTAATGCCATCAGTCCATGTAGAAGAAGGGCGTCCCACCCTTCATTGTCCTGTACGCAGTCTTCGCCATCTATTATTGCTGACTCGACAAATATGGATTGCTCACTGGTACTTCAGCTGTCAAAATTTGAGATACATAGGATACCTTTTTCTAATTCACGGTAACAAAGCCACGAATTCAGCTAGTGTTCATGATTTTTATCACTCAGGAATTAAATTCCCAATACACACGTACAGTTGACGAGTTTTCAAACTGTTACCTAATAGTACAAATATAATCTCATTAACAAGGAGAATTGGTAACGCAATGTCGTATTCGGTCCTTCAAGACTCGAGACGTTTGACAGAACAGCGCTAACGAGCCAACTTGTTGTTCGGAACGTGCCCTAACTGCTACGTAACAACGCAACTAATACCCTAAACATGTATTCTGTTCGAAGCCAACAATAATTTATTAAAGGAGTTTCGTTGGACTATAAACTTGGTATTATAAAGCTGAAGCTGTCTGCTTTATAGGTTATAAAGTGTTAAATAAGAGTAGTTGAATAGTAATAGTATAATAACCTAGTAGTTGATTGGCATTGTACAACAAGAGTTGCTACTACATGGCAGTAAAAATATATAATAAATTATCGATAGAATACAGAGATCTAACAGACAAAAAATAATTGAAAAATTTTACAATTGGCTTACTGAGAAATGTTTTTATTCACTTGAAGACTATTTCAATGTAAAATTTATAGAACAAGTTGCAAATGAAATATTTGCACGCCATACGTTTGAATGCAGGGAATCTTTTCTTTAACATTAAATACTTTTAATGTAATATCCTTTATTCTGGCAAATAAAATTATCATTTATTCATTATGGATGAAAAGACATGGCTTATAAAGTGGCAAGTCATTGGCATATACAGCCCGTATATGACAATGATTTACGCTGGTGAGGTACCAATAGAACATGATAGGATAAAATGAAGTCCGACCTGTTCGTTCCAAATTGCTGAATACTCTTGGAAAGCATATTGATTACTTTCACCAGAATCATCATTTTTTCAGGTTTTCAGAAGTATCGTGTGGATACTCCACATTAATCGTAATCTGACTATATTATAAAAATTGGTTTCACAAATCCTCAACACTGACAAACTCTTCCCCCTGTGACTAGTGGTTAAAAAGAGTAGTACCAAGTTGAGTTTGTTAAAGACACCTTATAAATACAAAATTCTTACACAGCTTGCTATATGAGCAAACTTCAAAAGGCCCAGCAAGCTATGAAAAGGACTGTAATCGGAGTTTCCGCGTGATATAATTTGAAGTTACGATATCCATATTCAAAGAACTATTAAAATCGATATATGAAATCCCTGAATCTTTTTCCAATAAATTTTAAATGATACATATTTTTATTATACTTATTCACAACCAACTTGTAAATATAAATAAAAACGACAAAACTATTGATTTCTAGCCAACTAGCTTTGCACGTTGCTGTCCTAGAAGGGTTAGCAAAGGTTATTGTCCCGCCAGGTTTGTTTTCTTAGCATATAGACGATGTTTGCATTTTGAACGTAGATATCTCCGTATTTATGTTTACATTAAAGCTACGTGTTTGGTATATACGTAATCAAATACTTTGTTTCATTGCTACTTTCAGTGAAACGAGTTTTTTCAAGAGCGAATGTTTATGATTTATTACCATCATTTCGTAGGCACAACGTATTTGGCAAATTTTGTGTTGGCGTTTATAAGTTGTTACGGAATAATGGTTCTCGTTATTCTTTTTGGAGTTTTGAGTTTCATTTAAGTATAAATACTATTTACGCTTTTAAATCTTTTTAACGCCTTTTACCAGAGGGAGACTTTGTACAAAAGTCGATTGCTTGGGTACCTCTGTCCCATTCGTGTTTCTGACGTAAAGCAGTTGTGTTTGCATGGCTGTGTTTCGGTTTAAAGGGTGGGATATGGCGTGAATTTACTAGGTACAGAGGAATAACATCTGAGTCCTCAGGAATGGCAACGCATGGGGGGTATCATGGGTGAAACAGTATTCATCCATGGTACTGCTCATGTCTATTGGCGACGGTTACCACTTTTCATCAGGTGGGCCGTCAGCTTGTTTGCCATTTTAAGTTGCATAAAAAAAAATCTAGAACAAGTCATTTTGTTTACCTATCCCAATAACGAAGTACCGCGTTCGTGATTCACTGATCATTCCAAAGGTTGACTGATAGAGAATGTTACTAGCATTAAGTCAGACTTTTGTACCATATTTTATTTTGGTCAATAAAGTTATTTAAGTAAATTAATAAGACGTCCTTTTTTATGTTCACCCATCTGACAAAGATGGGTGAACGTCATCTCGTCATCGTTAGGAAATTCATCTTTTGAAATTTGTGTATAATGCGGTTACAGAAATTTTTTTTTTCGCGAACGTTTTAGCTGTAGCGTGAACAAGGATCCGAATTTTCCCTAGAGATTTCTTCAAGGTTCATAATACACACATGATAACTCCTGTAGTAATCGTCAATTATGAATTGGAGTTTTTTGTGTTACATTGTCTTTTGATCAATAACGAATAATTTATGGTAATCATTTATCTTACTAATGTAGTAAAATTGTAACTAGACAATGTCTGTATTATTAGGTTATTAGGAAAAGTTGTTCTATCTCACATCACGTCTCAATAAGAGCAGTAGAAGTCAAAACAATAATTTGAAGTCTGTCTGTCTGTATGTTTGTATCTCACAAAAAGTAATGAACGAAATTAGAAAGATTTTCATTGTTGTTCCTGAAAATCTTAATAAAAAACTAGTGTACTTATTTCGATACGTCTTCCAGAAGTGGTCTGCTTCACTGTTATCCTTCTAAAATCCACACATACAATGTAGCGGGCCAAAACCTAGTCGTAGTATAAAAAAATAATCTTTTTAAGTAGATTTTAAATTTTTAAGTAGATAGTAGTATTTTACTGTTAGAAATGTAAAAGTTGAATTCTAAGCATAATATACTCCCCATACACACAATACCAGTACAAGAAGAAGAAATCTCGAAATAAAACCCATTACTAGATTGCGTTTAATGGCGTAATTAAGTAAAGGCTCTCCACCAGATAGGTACTTAGTTTATTTTATACAGTTTCGTACTGTGTAGACCCTTCTAGAAAGTCTAGACAGCATGCGACCCACTTATCGTCCCCCGGAGTTCAAGTTGTTAAGGCTATGAAATAAAAGTATAGTTCATTGAACTACGCTACTAAAAATAAACACTCGACAATTTGATTACCAATTATTTAATTACAGAGTTATTGTAATAATCACAAATAGATTTTGCTCAGTGTTATAAATGAATAATTTGTTAAATTATTCTTAGAATTTCTTATGAAATTTAATTAGTGATACAGATCATTTATTCACAATTAACAAATTAAATTTATTAATCATTTAATTAAATTAATTAATAATAAATTTTGTTTTAAAACAACCTATCTATTTCTAATAAATAATAAAATGTTTTCAATAGGAGTTGGTTTAAAAAAAAACTACTGATTAAAAAATGTTTGTGTTGTTAAATATATATAATAACTTGAGCGTATACTATATGTTTGTTACAAGCGTCAAAGCTGTATACATACATTTATTGATTTTTAATAAGTACTTACAATTAGTCCTAACTACTTAATACATAACTTAATAATTACTTACACTCCTTAATAAGTACTTTTTTTTAATGGATGATAATGGTATGGTAACCCCGCCTGAGCTATCGGTATACACTGGCAGGGCACCAGTGAGGGATGATAGATGAGAATGAAAGCAGGTCTTAGTCCATCCTGACGAATTCAACTAGAATTAACCATGATAGTTTCCAGGGGGTACCACGTGAAAGTCGACCTGACAGGGTATATTGCTAGTAATGGGGCTATTTGACCTCATTACTAACAATCCCTTTCCTTCCCTTAATAAGTACTTACACTCGTTTCGTGTGGTCCCGGCATAGAATAGAATCATTCCTTTCCCGTGGGTGTCGTAAGAGGCGACTAAGAGACGAGGGGCGAGGGATGGGCAGCAGCGTCCTTCTTGAAATATCTCTAAAGCCTAACTGCGGTTGTCAATCCGCCTGCCAAGCGTGGCAACTACTGGCAAAACCCCTCAAGGGGGAGGCTTATAATGATTTACATTTATATATTCTACAGGTAGTTTGATAATTTATTTTAACAAAATTGTTATTTTTCTTTCAGGCGAGTACAGGCGCGGAGCCCCAAGTTGCGGTGCTCTGCGAAGCTGGCGCTACCTACCACCCCCAGTACATGTCAGCGGCGGGCCGATGGACGCCTGATCTTACTACTAAACCTCACAATTGCCTCAAAGATAAAATGGAGATCCTCGATTACTGCAAGAAGGTAAGATTGGCAACTCCTGAGATTTACTTATGAATATTGATGTAAAAGCCAAGAATACATGATATTTCAGGTACCTAGATACTTCGATACCTTTTATACTTATTGATACGTATACTACGTTTATAATTGAAATCAGGTTAGGATTCCTTATCAAAAAGGTTAAAAAAATCCTTACAATTCCATCTGTCTGTCACAGCGGTGATTTATTTGAACGTATAGAACTCCCGAATGATTTTGTGAAAAAACTATCGGTCGATTCGTGCCAACACTTTCAATATTAGAATACGTATAAAACGTGGGTATCATAGTATAATTTGTGATATTGATGGTGCTGTTTAAATGGTTTTATAGGCGATGGTTTCCTCTTTCCATCAGGCCGTCAGCTTATTTACCAATTAAATTCAATTTCTTTGTACAAAGAGCATATACCGAGGATAAACTAAATAATCTATTAAACTAAATATATTACTTAAAGTTTACATGTAAACACACATAACAAATTTATATGTACATGTTATATTCAATTGGCTAGTTATATATAATAGCTCGAAGAATCGACAACCAATAAGAAAGGAACGTTCTTGAGTAGCGACTCCGTACGGGCAAAGAGGGTGTAGGACGACCCCTCACTAGATGGAATGACGACCTCAAATGTATTGCATGGAGTTAGTACATGCAAGTGTTCCTATGACAGCCTATCTATAACATAAGCTTCTCATGTTAAGCAATGGGCAGATAATGGCTGAGATGAAGTTATACTCGTATTTTAAAGTTTAAAAATAAAAAATTCAAATCGGACTAATACGAAAATAAAATTTAAAGGTTTCGTAATTTATAATTTTCGTGATCGCATTAACTTTGCAATTTGCACTATGTTTACAATAGAAAAAAAAATGAAAAAGCGATTTAATTGTCCGAGAGCGGCGTGTCCTTGGCTCTGGCAACTTTAGTAATTCGATTTCATTTCTGTTTAATTATGAAAACCGGCTTTTTCACGATAATGGACATGATGTATAATTAAAATACATATATATATATATTGCTACACTTTGGGATTTTAATTTCCTGGTAACGCGACGTAAAGTCCTTGGAGATTATTAGAGGCACTTAATAATTAAATATTATATTTTACACAAGAACTTCTGATTATGAAATTGCTACCTTATAGTTCTGTAGGTAGGTTTTCCTTTTGTTCGTCTGTAGTAGAAAATACTCATACTATTTATAGATATATGTATATTGGGTATGGAAAAGCATAATAATTTATGGTCCACGCTTATTGTTTTTTCGGTCTGTACTTTTTTCGGCAGAACACATACTGTTAATGGCTAACAAATAAAAAAAAAAAGTGGCGGGAAAAAGGAATGACGAATTGTTAGTCTGTTATTACAATTTCATTGTATTGTTAGTTCTAAATACGTCTGAAATTATTAATTACTAGTGCTGGCCCCGTGGTCGAAATTTTACTATAACATATTACAAAAATAATAATAAATAAATTTATTATAACCATTTTTTACTTTCATTAAGACTATAGACGAATAATATTAAAGACAAACAATATTTATCTATTCTCAATTTGACCACAGACAATAAACAAGAGTGTGTGTGTGTGTGTGTCAAATATATGGTAGTATGTGTGTAATGCTTTTTTTTATTTATTTAATGTATTTTTTACGCAGAGTTAAAAAAAAAATATTAGCATTCTGCACTCCTTCTCTACATGAACTATAAATGTGCTAAATTTCATACTCCGTCCGCGCAATTTTCGTGAAAAGCGGTACAAAGTCTTTGCTTCACTGATTGATTAATAATAGTTTTTTTTTTGATGGGTGAAAATGGTATGGTAACCCCGCCTGCGCTAACGGGATACGCTGGCGGAGCACCAGTGAAGGGAAAACAGGCCAGTTAGCCCATCATGATGAATTCATCAGGAATTAACCATGATAGTTTCCAGGGAAAATCGTGAGGAACTCGACCTGATTGGGTATATTACTAGCAATGGGATTCTCAGTTTCCATTACTAACAATCCCTTTCCCCCCAGACTAATAATAGGTACATACATTAATATATTGGCTTCTTCTAAGTAAATTACTTTTAATTATCTATTTATTTCTCTCTATTTTTTATTCGCGAAATTAAGCACTAGCTATATATGACTACTTTTATAAATAAGAATTTCATGACACTGTTAGTAGTTTATCGGATGGTTTATCGGTAGATCCTAGTTAAATTAACCTCGAATTCTAGCTCATATTTCCGGTCATGGGGCGGGATCATCGGATAAAATAAGTAATCTGGTTAACAATATCATTTTAAGGCCGCCTTCAATGTTAATACAAGGTTCTTATAGTAATATTTAATCTTTATTAAATCAATTGAATGAATAAAGTAAGTATTACCCCTAATAATAATAATTTCCGAACCGATACGACATCAGAACCTTCAAGAAAAGAGCATATTCCTTTTTAAAAGGCCGTCAGCACACATGCAATGCGTTTGTTGTTAGGGGTGATCATGGGCGGCGGTAGTCACTTACCATCAGGTGAGCTGGATGCTCGTTTGCTCACTGTGTATTAAAAAAAAAAAAACTAATACTACAAACTAACTGTCTGCACAGGTGTACAAATGAAAAAAATAATATATCTGTCATAATATTATCAATATTTTTTTAAATTACAATTAGAAATTAAGTTAAAATTGGAATCAATTTGCAATAGTTTGCATTGCTAAGTTGCACTAACATGCATCTATCAGAACAGTATTGCAATTCAAGACTGCAAAATATTTCAATTCCAGTATCGATCTATTTGCATTTATTTCAAGAGTAATACTACAGGTATTAACATTTTCTATTGTTTTGTTTTCTAGGTATACCCGAGCCATGACATCACTAACATCGTTGAAGCATCCCATTACGTGAAGGTTGCCAACTGGTGCAAACTGGGAACTAGCAACGCAGCAAAATGCAAGGTCACAAGATGGGTCAAGCCTTTCCGTTGTCTTGGTATGTACAGTACTAGTTTTACACCGAAAGGCACGTTCTTGCGTAAACGAGATCCTGTTTCGAGTATGGGTCTTTTTTTAAATAGATGATAATGAAATGGTAGCTTCGCTTACACTAACGGTGTACGCTGGCAGAGCATTAGTGAAAGATGATAAGTGAGGATGAAATGGCAGGTCAGTTAGTCGATCGTGATTACACCTGGAATTCAGCACGATGATTTTTAAGGGGAATCACGTGGAGATCGACCTGTCACGGTATATTGGTAGCAATGGGATTGGTAGTCGACACTACTAACAATCCCTTCCCCTCTCGAGTATTGATCGGGATCTAACAAATATTTTATGATATTTACTTTATGGAATTCCACAAAGTTTTGTTACTTTATTGATACTTTATTGTACAACAATCTAATAAAAATTAACTCTAATTATCATAATGTATATTTTTTTTTTTAATATTTTTTAATTCAATTCACTCATAATCGTATTTTCTGATATTGCTCACAACTTAGGTTACATGTTTGTTTTTATTATTTACTTCATTTTCTCGCACTGTATAACTATGTTAAAGTAAATGCTGTGAATACCTATAATAGGCATGTGCATTAATATTGTATTATATTTAATGTTTGTTATATGTGTTCTAATGCAAATATGCTGTTGGTGTTCCTTAAATAAATAAATAAATACTGGCATAAGGATGAGAAATGGGGCTTTTTAATATTTTAATGAACATAATTATCATTTTATCTATGGTACGACTTATTAGAAATAATCTGAAGAGTGAACATCGATTATCTTTATATTTCTTTATTTTTCTGTATATATATATATATATATATATATATGTTACGCGATATTTCCAACCGACTTAAAAAAGAAGGAGGTTTTCGATTCAGTTGTATTTTTTTGTTTGTTACTGTTACACATAACACTGTCAGTTATAAATCGATTTGAACAAGTCCTTTTTTTTTTCTAAAACGGCATACTTACAGTATGGTCCCAAAGAAATTTTATGAAAATGTTTAGCTGTAGTTTAGTTTTTAAATCCAAAATAACAGATTTTGACACAATTGAAGTATTATTTTGTGGTACACAATCTGAATTATCTTGTTTTTGCAATAAATGAGGTTCAATTCTGTGTTGATCCCTTATTCGTTTTATGGTCTCTGTTTTGAATCTTGGTCAAATTATTAATATGAACTAATACGTAAAAAATATGATAGAAAAAAAATTTTGCTCGGAAAATTAAAATTATATGCCTAATTATGTCAATAATAAAAAAGTAAAAGTATGCAGTAGGTATGAAATTTGAAAAGCCTTAATTGAAAATACTCATTGGGCACAGTGAAAAATGGACAGTCATTAATCAGGGCGAAGGCTGTATTAGAAATATTGATGTCAAGTGTTCATTAGTATTATTGGACAGACGAAGTATTATTGATGAGCCGTGTCGTTAAAAGTTATATTTCACTAAGAAAGGTTACGCGGCTTTATTCGGATCCCCATCGCTTGTTTCTTCAAAGTTTACTTAAACTTATTAAGCGCCTTCAAAAAGGAGGGACTTCTATTTATTGTTATATGTTTTTTTCGTATTTTATATAATATTATTTATTTATACTACTATTTTTTATTTTTTTACTTGCCAATTATGAATCGGTTGTGATAAGTCCCTGACACGATAGCAACATGCTGAGCACGGAAATCGTTTTGATAAATGTTGCGACGCACGCACATATCTTCGCATTCTTGCTGACACTGTTGTAATATGCATTTATTGATTTTTTTTTTATGTATTTAGTTAATTTAGTAGTTTATTATTTTTTTCTATGGATGATAATGAAATGGTCACTCCGCCTGCGCTAACGGTAAACGCTGGCGGGACATCAGTGAGAGATGATAGGTGAGAATGAAGAGGCAGGTCAGTTAGCCCACCGTGATGAATACACCTGGAATTTAGCATAATGATTTCCAGGGGGAATCACGTGGAGATCGACCTGATAGGGTAGCATATTGCTAGCAATGAGACTGATAATCCGCATTACTAACAATCCCTTCCCCCTAGTTTATTTTTAATTTCAGTCATTTTTTAACTTCTGTTACTTAAAGTTTCTTCCTTTCGTAAGCAAATTTGCAATCGATTGGGTTTACTCTAGTGTCGTTCTCATATTAATGTTATCACTATTTCAATAGAGTTTACGTCTTGCATCGTAAATACTGAAAGATAAGAAATGAATAATTGATTCGACCATAAGATAATCTGTTGGTGTCCAATAGAGTAGTATAAATCAAAATTCTATTTATTAATTGAGCGTTTCAATATATTATTCCATTTAGAGAGTGCTTCTATGGTTATTTCCCAAAACATTGTTACTTTTTTATTAAGTTTAATTGAAACAGAATATAATACTTTTATGACTGTCAATACCGTGTGGTCCCGGCATAGAATGGACCACCTCTTCTTTTCTCGTGGATTTCGTAAGGCGACTAAGGGAATTTAATAATCGAGGGATGAACAGCAGCATGCCTCTTAAAACATCATCAAGTCTAACTGCGGTTGCCAATCCGTCTGTAAAGCGTGGCAACTATTGGCAAAACTCTCCTTTGTAGGGGAAGCCTACGTTCATCAGTGGACAGTCACCGGCTAATATGATAATGATGATGAATTCTCAAAAGTGTGATGTTTGAAGGTTTATGCATGTATGAGTTTCTTATTTCCATCATGGCTTCTAAATACCTGAACAGATTTGGATGTATGGGGTATCGTTAGATTCCTTACATCACCCCGAGCGATGCTGATAAAAATTTGTTAAAAAATTGTTTTTATCAGTTGTATTTTTTTATTTGCAAATGTAAAATGTATGATGGCACCATTAACTACAAAGATTATTTGGTGGCAGAAGGTCCATTCCAATCGGACGCGTTGCTGGTGCCTGAGAGCTGTCTGTTCGACCACATCCACAACCAGAGTCGGTGCTGGCAATTCGCAAGGTGGAACGCCACCGCTGGCCGTGCGTGCGCCCAGCGTGGACTCCGGTTACGCACCTTCGCTATGCTGCTGCCTTGTGGAATCAGCCTGTTCTCTGGAGTCGAATTTGTCTGCTGCCCAAAACATTTCAAAGGTGAGTAAGACTTTAAGGTTTAGTCTATTATTTATTCCATTATTAAATGTGGTATTAAACGTGGACGATAAGATACTTTTCCTGTTAAAATGGAAAATATGTATAAACTTGTATTTTATTTTATTTTTTTCATAAAATATTTTGATTTCAAAATTCCGCTATATACATATTATCATAGGGTCTCCTTTTGGTAAGCCGCCAATGTAAATGTACTTACTAATCCATTAATGTTAAACCCTTGTCATAAGAGGTGTATTAAACTCATCGAGTTATTGCTAAAGAGATACTAATGGGATTCATGTAAAATGGGTTTTTTAATCCACCTACTGCTAATAAGAACACATTTAAAGTATATATATATAAATTACTAGTATACATATATTTATTTTAGATATTAATAAATAAGTAATTGTTAGTTACAAGCATTGATTGATATGTGTTTCTACAGCTAAACAACTGTGACATTACAGAATACGCATGATGGGGTACTATGGGTTAGTTTTGTATGATGTTCATATCTATAGACCATGGTTCCCAATTATATAAGTCAGGGCTGTCCAAACTAGATAGGATCAAGGGCCAATAAAAACGACTAAATTCAAAATGCGCAAAATATTTGTAAACACAAAATGCAGTTATAATATCATTATTTTGTTATTGTATTCCTTTTTCATTAATTTATTTTTTATAATTCTGTCAAAGTCAACATCAATGTTGGTAGTAGTTAGAAAAGATTTAGCGGGTCGCAGCAATTCAAGCTGCGGGCCGAATGTGGCCCGCGGGCAATGATTTGGACAGCTCTGATATAAGCTATTAGTTTACCATTCCTTGATGCAAAAAAAAAACCACTTATTATGGAGAGTTTTTTTTCTAGAAAACGTAAAGATGCATAAGCCAATGGACGTTGGTGTCCCAGTCAGCCCTGGCGGTGAAGAGATGCTCGCTGCCTCAGCTGCCATGGATGAGCGTGACGATGACCTGCTCGATGATGACGATGCATTGGACGATGATGACGACGACGATACCCTCAACCTTAGCGACGATGATGACGATGATGACACCGATGACGGTAAATAAGCAGTTTGTAATAAAGCCCCGAACTAATCACGGTAAATAAGAAGTTCATAATTAAAGTCCCAAACTATTCGTAAGCAGAGTTTGTATTATGGATACTAGATAACTGAAAGACATACTTAAATACTTACTTTTGTAAATATATACCTATTATACATAGAAAACAGCCAGACCAGTACAAACGGACAAACTCATAAATACAATTTTTGTATTGTGCTGATATCGAACTCACGACCATTGAAATGAAAGTGCAGTGAAATGCACTAATTTTCTACAAGCAGTGTTTATGTATAATTGTGCACATGACATTTGTCTATAATCAGATGCCGTTCTCCCTTCAGACATGGATGAGGACGAGGATGCGGACCTCTCGAGGGATGACGACGCTGAAGACGACGATTATACGGATGGCGACGACAGCGCCTGGCCCCGGCCCGAGTCCTCACCAGCGCCATCTACCACCACCACTACAACTACTACAACAACCACCACGGTAACAACCCAAATATATTTATACTTATATTAAAAGCAAGTGGCGTTTTTATTTTTAGCAACGCCCAATGATCTTTCAAGTGCTACTTTGTTGTACTGTTTTAGGCTAACAACGGAGATGAATAATAGAGTTTAAATACTTTTACATTATTGGATGCATTATTACGAATTTGTAAAGTTTTAAATCTATGTATTTTAACTCCCATATTGTTCAACTAAATGATATCTGTACTAAGATTTATTGAATTTGAATACTGGACTTTAAGAAATTGAAGATTTATTTTCAAGTGGTCTTCCAAAATATACCATTTCCATAATTGACTATTAAGTATTGAAAATTATCAGTCAAAAGTGACGCTAAATTTACCTATGCCTCTTTCATTAAAATATGCACATGCGTTTGAACCTGATAGATTATCAAACATCATAAGATGTTTGATAATCTATCAGATCATAACATGACTTATAAAACTTTGCAGGCTTCTACAGCGACATCTGATCCCTACTTCTCCCATTTCGACCCCCGTACCGAGCATCAGAGCTACAAAGATGCCCAGCAGCGTCTAGAGGAGACACATCGCGAAAAGGTACGGTACTATCCTGACATAGTACGTTGTTCTAAGTTTCATAAAAAAAAATATAAAAAGCAAAAGTATCGTTAGAAATAGACTAATACCTCAAAGACACACTTACAGAAATACACTTATTAATATCACATAATAATATAAATGTGAAAGTTTATAAAGATGCTTGGATGTTTGTTACTCACGCTTAAACGACTGAACGGAGTTAGATAATATTAGGTACTTTTTCATCTTTTTCCTTTTCACCCTTTTCTCTTATCTATTTGTTTTTAAATCTGTGTGTTTGCTTTAATTAAATAAAATATATAAATTTGGGGTCTGGTATATATTTTCTTCTTCCATTAATTTCTATTTGTAGACATCTCACTAATTATTCCCTCTCTGGCTATGTCATCTTTCACCCAGTCCACCCAAATTTGGTACATGTATAGTTTAATGTTTGTACTCATGCATGTGGGCAAAGTCATGGTAAACTTTATGAGTGAATATACTTTCAGATAACGAAAGTGATGAAGGAGTGGTCCGAGCTCGAGGATCGTTATCAGCAGATGATGTCATCAGATCCTTCCGCCGCGCAGACTTTCCGCCAACGTATGACTGCTAAATTCCAGGCCAATGTTCAGGTATTGACTGTTGTTATTATTGTGGTATTAACAATTTGACCTATGGACTGTTTATATTTCTTTATTAACTAAAGAGTTCATGATTTAAAATCGGATTCATAGACAAAAATCAGATGGAGTCGTTAAGACAAAGAGCTAAATGAAAATCAGCTGGTTTGCTTGTAAGCTTCATATAATAATAAAGTCACAACAGCCCACTGCCTTCACGTGGATGTTGATATGAGTGTCGTAATGGGGATTTATGGCGCAATTGCTATAAATATGAAAAAAATATTGTGAATGTAAATTAAATAAAAAATATTCTATATCTCAAGTTGGACTTAACTTTGACTCGGTAGTTTTGTAATTCGTCGCGGACAAACAAAGTGACACGAACTTTTTATACATAAAGAAAAGATCAATATTCATTTCCTAAATAAGCTCTAAATAAAATGATGCGCATGATGCGCGTGCGCAGTCGTTGGAGGAGGAGGGCGTGGCGGAACGGCGGCGGCTGGCGGCGCTGCACCAGCAGCGCGTGCTGGCACACCTGGCGCAGCGGCGCCGCACCGCGCTCGCCTGCTACACACGCTCGCTGCGCGACACGCCGCCCAATGTCAGTACTCTCATATACTATTATATTTTTTTAGATAATGAAGAGTAACCTTTGCTACGGAATTCGGAGGGATACCAATAAAGTATGATAAGAGAGGATAAAGTTAGGTCAGTTTGACCATCGTTTTCCAGGAATTAATCACTATGGTTTCCAGAGAGAAGCACATGAAGGTTGACCTGGCAGGGTTTATTCCTAGCAATGGAGTCTCTAGACCCCATTATCTAACAAACCTTTCCCAATATATAACTATCGAATTAATCAGCAAACAAACAAGGAGCATAAAGCTAGAGCATATAGATTTTCTATTAAGAGCAAAGAGGGCGAACATAGATGAGAATAAAACAGGGTAAATGGCCCCTGTTTTATTGTCTCTTTTCGAAAGAAAATAGTGTTTTTGTTTAGATTTTTTGTAATTCTATAAGTAAATGTTTTAAAAGTAAATGTCAAATTAGTTGATTCGTTTTTTTATCGGTATTCTATATATATATGCATAAAATGTATCTTGACGTATTATTTAATCAATAAAATAAGTGTTTACGCTAAATTAAAAAAAATATGCAGAAATTATAAGACAAATAAATATAGCAGTTATAAAGGAATCACTCATAACTATTTATCACACAAAATTGTATGAAAAGCTGATCCGTTTTTCGCGAAGCATTTCTATGAAGACAATCTATCTATATAATCTAAGGGTTTATATTATGGTTGCACTAAATGGAGAGATATCGTTGCAGGCGCACCGCGTGCAGAAGTGCCTGCAGCGGCTGGTGCGTGCACTGGCAGCCGAGCGCGGCGGCGCCCTAGCCGCGTGGCGGCGCGCCGCCGCCGCGGGTCGTGAAGCCGCTGCTGCTGAGCGTGCTAGCGCCGCCGACAGGCTACAGGTACATACTTTATACTTCATTCCATTACAGAAAAAGAAATTGTTAAAGCGAACTTAACTATTATCTTAGTGTATTTTATTCAAAATTTCTGATTTAAGAAACAAATACATGTTAGATATCGGAAGTAAGCTTGATGCACTTACCATGGCGTCATTCATTCCAACTCCACGATTTTCATACAGCGCAGTACAAATTTGTTTAATTAATTTAAAAAAAAAAAAAAAGAAAATTTCCAGTATATTTAATGCATTACATTATTTAATAATATTAGAAAATATTCGGTCCAAAGTTTAAAGAAATATTTAATCTATGAAACATTTCCTATAATTTCTCGAGTAAGCTAATTGATTTGTGATGACTACTAGGATGCTGATCGTGCTTTGCAACGCGCCTTGACCGCCCTCCGTCGCCGTCCACACCTCTACGCCAACATTGGAACCGCTATTGAAGACTACGTTCAGGTATATTCTAAAACTACTTTGTCATTTTGATTATTACTATTGCCAAAATAACTGAATAGATAAAGAAAAAGTTGTTAGATTAAGTTGTTTAGGCATATATCTTTCTACTTTTGCATTATTTGCGAATACAATATACAGACAAACAGACTGGCCTATAATTATCAGACAACATTTAAAATTTATGAGAGAAGTCGAGAGTTTCTGAAACTGGCGTGAAAGAGATAGTGAAAATGGATGAAACAAAAGATATATGAGACATTCGGCCCTTAATTCTTTGTGCTTAATCTCTGGTACCTACTGTCAAAATAGAAAATTAGATCAATCAAATAAAAAACAATAACAAAGTTTTTAATTTCTCTTCCAGTCAATGCAGTCCAAAGATGACATGGCCGTATCTCTTATGTCGATGACTCCTGAAGCTGAAGAACTGTTGTTGGACCGCATCGAAGCTGAAGTACAACGCGAGCAGGCTGCACGAGAACAGCTCAGCGCCAAACGAGACCAACGCACTAGGCAGCGACAGGACATACAAAACGAGAGGACTAAGGTAAGATGTCCTTATCAAGCGAACGAAATGAGCAGGTACTATCCTTAATAATTAAAATAATGACTACAAAATCGCATTAATCGTCCAGTTCTCAATGTATTATGAAGAACCTGGCAACGAACATTTGAAAGTATACCTCAGAATTCCAGACCTGATCCAATTCAGAAAAGTTTGATTCCTAAATTAGAATTCTTTTACTTTAATTCATATATAAATTAAATATATATTTTCATTTATTAAAACCAAATAATTCTGAATGCAGACCTCAAACGGCGTCAAGGAAAGTGAAGAAACCGATGACGAAGCTAGCGAAGTGAACGAAGGCGATGAAACGACGTCGGTGCCAACAACCCATAGTGCTCCACCCTCGGCCGCTGCCTCCCCATCACCACATCTCACTGCTGCCTCTGTCTCCGTACATGACGCTACCACCAGGGTCGCGTATACACAGGACACTACAACCACTGTGAGTGATCTTCCTCGTAACAACGTAGTATTTCATTTCAAAACATAAATCTCTTCATGAAACTCTTGGTGTAAAAATTGCGTTGGCATGACTGTGGAACATTGGATATGGCAGGAGATATAAAGGACATAGAGGCATAACATTTTAGTCCTCAGGAATGGCAATGTTTATACGTTCCATTTCGTTATTGCTTTGCTTATAGGATACCACAGAGATTAGGATGAATTCTGTCATGGTCATGACAATGATTTTATTTATGTCTGTCAGTAACTTGCATCAGATGGCTTTTCAGCATATTTATCATTTTTAAACGAGAATAATTAGTTTTTTGCTGCCATGCTAGCTAGCAAACTTAATAAAACCAATCTGGATTGCATTGGGTTTAGTCATAGGAATTAGTATGAAGGTTTCGAGTTTTCCTTTCTTTGCCTTTGCAATTTTGTTCTCTAAGGTTTACTTCCATATTAGCTCTGTGTTCTTTTTTATGGAATAAATTTTTAAACTATTGTTAACATTCTGACTACAGGAAGTGATCACGAGTACAATGACAGACATTCCAGAGAGTGAGACAGCGGACACTGCAGAAGTAGGAGAGACCTCTAGCCGACGGTCCACCAGCGAGGTATTATTATTTGTATTCATATATGACGAGAAGAATATTTAAAATCCGGTAATGCACTTGCAATGACCTCTTGTTGGTCATGTCGCGAGTATTCATAAGCGATAAAAGCCACTTTCCATCAAGTGGATTCTTCGATGTTTATCTTCTTGATAGAAAATATATTTATTGTAAAATGTTTTAATCATCCATACCATACCATCAACATCATCATTTCAGCCATTATCCTTTCACTGCTGGACATAAGCCTCTCCCATAGACTACCATAAAGAACGGTCCTGAGCCACTTGCATCCACTGTCTCCCTGTATTGCATTTCAATACTATACCATATAAGCTGTTTATTGTCCACTGCTAAACATAAAACGTATTCCCACCAGGTTCGAAATAATTATTTGTCGAGAAACATTCGCAGGAAACTCGTTATTTTGAACAAGTATCTCTTGCTTAATTATCCCTTATACAGGTGGACGAAAAGTAGTGTTGATTCTTTGTAAATTTTGCAGTAAAATTATTATTTTGTGTTTGTGATACCATCAGGATTCCACTATAAATTATATGCGATGTTACAGACGGAAGGCGAGGGGCTGCGGGCCGCGCTAGAGCATGCAGAGGAGCGCGCCCCCCCTCCACCGGCGCACGCGCTCAAACATGAACTGCAACATTCTCAGCCTGTAAGATTTTTCTTTTAAATCGATCATTGCCATTATGTATATGGTCTTGCTGTACTTTGTTGAGATGGATAACCTGTGTTAATTTCATTGTTGAACTTGGTATTTAAAAATTGAAAGGGTTGAGCCATATGCTATAAATAGCATCAATACTTATATTGCAATTGACAGTGCAAGTACACGACTTCTTTATTTGTGATAATATGTAGTTACTCATTAAGAGAGATATTATAACTCAGTAAGAGATTATAAGTAAAGATAAAGTTTTTATTCAAATGTGTTAGAATGAAATGGTAACTCCGCCTGCGCTATTAGTATATGCTAAAGGGGTATGAGTGAGTGGTGATAAGTAATATCACCACTCACTCATACCCCTTCAGTTAGCCCATTGTGATTGATCCAACAAGAATTAATCACGATGGTTTCCAGGGCGAACCGACTAGAGGTCAACCTGACAGGAAATATTGATAGAAATGGGGATTAACTTATTACTAATTATTCCTCTCCCCCAGGTATAGATAAAGTTAGACCATTGACCTATTGTAACGTATTGACTAGGAATTAACTACGATAGTTTCCAAAAGGAACCATGAGGAAGTCAATCAGTTAGAGTGTATTGACAGCAATATAAATACTGGTTTTATTACTATCCTTATTCTCTTATCTAAATACATAACATTCCGGAAAGGTATATGCATATGCAATGTCAGTCTACTCTACTCAAAATCAATTCTAATTTATTAAATTATTTGGTCCAGGGTTACACAGTGCGAGGCGCAGGCAGCGCGGGAGGCGCTGGCGGCGCCGGCGGCGCGGGCGGCGCGGGCGCGCTTTACCCGGCGCTGTGCGTGGGCGGCGCGGGGCTGGCGGCCGCCGCCTGCGTCGCGCTCGCCGTCGCGCGCCGCCGCGACCGCGCGCCGCAGGCGCAGGGCTTCGTCCAGGTACGAACACCGCTCCCTGTAAGCGTAAACCTGCCAACTTAACCTGACTTAAGGTGAAGTTGGCTTTACTATTATTGCAGAAGAAGAATACAGGTGCAATTCCTTTTAAGATTTCCAATCTAGGGAAGATTACATCATCCTTAGCGAACACAGGGGCAAAATGAACGATGATATGATGCATGAACGCAATCAAACGGGAAGATTCTGTTTTCAACGGCTATAGCCCCACTATGCTACTTTTACACTACGTTTAAAGAACTCGGAGTTACAATATGAAGGGAATACATCGCGAATATGGTATGCTACGATTCACTTAGAAGTTACCAAATTTGTGGACGAGAGCAAATGGTGAACCGTGGATACCGTGTAGAGTTGTAGTCGCTAGCTCATCCTCATGGTGAGATAGCGGATAGGGGAAGGTAGAAAAAGATTCCTGAGTATACTGAGCGAAATCATCTTAGACATGGAAGCATTTCTTTACACATGAAGTCATATGTGAAGCACAGATAAAGATCTGGGCTTTTCATAGGAGAAAAAACTGTTCGGACTCTTTGTTCAGATCTCCGAGTTTCTTAATTACTATTTTAGTTACAATCTTCATTAAATCCTTGAAATCGGGACATAGAAATTTTACAGCACAGTTGTCAGTAATGGCAACACATTGTGCTTACATGTCTATAAGCGACGGTGGCCACTTTCCATCAGGTGAGCCGTCAGCATGTTGACCATTCTAAATATCACAAACAATGCAATTTTCATTACAGGTAGAGCAAACTGGTGCAGTGGCACCGACACCTGAGGAGCGACATGTGGCTAACATGCAAATCAATGGGTATGAGAACCCCACCTACAAGTACTTCGAGGTCAAGGAGTAGATTGACCCTACATCGCCACAGCCTTCCACCCGGCGGCGTCGCTGCGACCACCAGGATGTAAATCATAAGTAAACAGGACAGTTGGTGTCATACTATCTTAATGTTCTACTTCTAGAGTTATGGGTAGAAAATTAGCAAAGATATGTTTCTCGTTAGTTTCTCTTCTAGGATCTAGATAAGGGTTTCCCAAATTTGAGTCCACATAATAAAGGCTTTAAGGACAAAATTTTACAAAAAAATACATAGTTTCTTTTATAGCATTTTTTTGTACAGGAAGATCGATAGAGACAATTTTTCTACTCATATGTAATAATTTTAATATAAATATTTAGATTTTTTTATTATTAAAGGATTCATGACAATCATAATAATGTTTTAGGGGGTCCCACGTTGAAAGAGTTTGGGAAACGCTGATTTAGATTCAAAGTCTTATTCTTAATTCCATTTATTTATTTCCAAAGTTTTGAGGAAATAAATTTGTGAATTGTCCATTAGATTCTAATTCTGAATGTTTTCTTTAGTGATGTGTCCTGAAGTATGTTAAGGATTTATATTCTTATTTCTCAAATTGAAATTGATGTGAGTGATTATTGGAACTAAATCTGCGACGTCAAATGATAAGTACTGGTGGGAGGAGACTTGGATACTCTTGTTTATTATAAAATTAATTTTATCAAAAGCTTGTGTGATTAGTGACATGATATTTGATTTGTTTGCGATAACTCGCAGTCGAATATTATTTAAAGTTACAAGTGATATTGGTTTTTATTTATTTGTTATTTTTTGCACCAAAATATTTATTATACTTTCTTAAGATTTAGGAACTAAGTTTTTTGTCTAGTGTTCTAGATAAGTGTCACATCGTAGTCGAGTTTTTTAAAGTTAAGTTTTCGATACCGCGGCCCACGTGGTAATGTTGAGTGTTTGACCATTTTTGTTTCTATAAATTCAATACATTTCATTAATGTAAGATTTTCCAGATTGATCTCAGTTTAAGTTAGAGTAGTATCTGATTGTTTTGTAATTTTATATTACGCGCATATATTGAACATTACCATTGGGGCAAGTGGAACAAACGTCCATGGTACGCTGTGTACATAGGCTCTGCGTACAAATTTGAACCTAAATTACTTATACTTAAAACCCGCTTTCATTTACTTTTCTAACGTAGGTAGATCATAACGTGAATTTTATGTAATAAAATGCGAAAATATATTTTAATAATTAATGTGTACTTAGCAAGGAACGGGCGGCAAAGCCGACGCGGGTGAACACTCTCCGTATTACGAATTGCAACCTCTAGTCTTCTTCTAGTCACCATGGAACAGCTTATGTAGTATAAATGTATATGTATTTTTTGTGGTTCGAGTAGACATTTCCCCTATAGTGAATAAATCTATCTCTTTTCTTCTTCAAACAAAACTCTATCTCTTCCGTTCGCCCGCGGGACAATACTCGGAAGTTCCGAATTTGAGAAGCGCCGTGTACTCAATGTGTGTTTTGTAATTGCGAATTTCGTAGACTTATGATTCTTGGCATTATCAGAAATCATAAAGTGTCAGCGCTTTGTTAATCTAGTCAAGACGATAGGGGCATGTATCCTAATTTCTGTTTACGGTTGTGTACACACGTTGGGTATTCGGTCACGGCGAAGCAAATAAGCTTAGTAAGTGAGTGTATGTACGGTTATTATATAAGTAGATGTACAAAAAGTAATACATTATATAGATGTTTTAGCGTCAGATACATAGATATAAAGCAAAATATAATTATATATCGCATTCGTCCGTATAAAGTAAGGGCTTGCGCTCGTGTCTAATCCCACGTACCACACTTAATGTTACGTCGTAGTTAAGATGTAATTCTGCCTCAGTATTATATACATTTAAGCTTATTTGTTACATAAGCTAATTTATATACACTATTACTATTTGTTTACGGGCGCAGTGGCGTTGCTACAAATGAAGTCATATCAGATTACGTCACAGCGCTCTTAGTTGCGCTTGTTTTGGTGGAGTGCGTTCGATTCGACGGTCGGCAAAAGAATGAATAATTCTGAGTGTGAACAATGAGCTCATTCTCATATGGTCCGTAGTTAAAACAACAGATGTCGCTGACTATAAAATAGATCGCATTTCTGCAAAAGTGGCGCGAATAGGAGCCCGCCCGTGGCTTGTACGGCATTTACATAAGTACTCACTGTTAACGTAAGTTTATTCCTGCATCAAGTAACCGCTATGTATTTTTACTCATGATAATAAACAAGCCGAATAATTGATTATTTTTTTAACAGAGATTTTTGCTCAAAACCGGTCTCGTTTAATTGTTGAGGAAGTTGTACTTTCTATTGATCAACCTAATCGTCGTTGTAAACAATATTTGGTGTTAGTAACCTTAAATCCTGTTTGTACCTATCCCACTTACTGTTTTACGTATGTTGATATAAGGAAACAATAACTTATTTTGTGTTAACTGTGCTGCATTTCATTGTGAGTTCGAAGTTCAAATTGAATCAATAAATAGAAATTTAAAATATTGGTGTTATTATTGGCATAATTTGCCGTATCATTTGTCCTGTACGTACTGAAATCCAAATTGTTAGAAAAAGAGAAAGAGAAGGAGGAGGAAAGGAGTAGTATAATGGAGTCTTCTACCAGTAAATGTAATTGTTTTTTCATAAATATATGGATCGAAAAATTCTGAGTCTTTTATATTGACAATGATTTGTAGATTTTTTTATGGGTGGGAATGCAATGGTAACCCCGTCTGCGCTATCGGTATACGCTGGTGAGTCACCAAAACGTGATAATAAGCGAGGACGAAAGCAAGTCAATTAGCCTATTGTGACGAATTTCACAAGAATTAAGGATGGTTTCCAAGGGGAACTGCGTGAAGAATTACGTAATGAAATATATTGCTAGCACTAGGGCCGTTAAACGATATTACTAACAATTCCTTTTCCCCTGACAATGGTAGGTGTCTATTTTTTACTATTATTTTTTTCTATAACTCATTATTGTATCACGGTAGTGGTAAGACAAAGTCATGTCTATTAGTTGATCGTGACAACACACAATGGTTGGGGGGAAGGAATTGTTAGTACTATCAGTCCTAGTGCTAGCAATATACACTATCAATTTTTATTCAACCATCATGAAAATTATCAGAAAATATTATTTCACCAGTGGGAGATATAACAGCATAACTCCGAGAAATTCTGCGGATGATGATACCATGGGAAAGAACTGTTAATCTTATGGTTTATAAGAGACAGGAGTTAACGCGATTATTTGTTTGATAAAAAATATGTTTTGATAAAAAATAAACTGCGGATGCAGTTTTGATGAAATTTCTACAAGCCCAATCTGAAAGATAAAATATAGTATACTTTTATCAAAGAATTTTCTGAATCGATTCATAAATGTTGGAGTTCAGAGGCAATAAACATATTAAACCTGCATTATATTTATATTTCAAGCATGTTGCGACGGCCGTGGTCACGAGCAGACTGATGTATGAAGATCATGTATCCGTTCTCGAGGCAGTGTTTCTTTTTCTACCCACTAATTGTCATACATCACACAAAATATATTCCTATATTGAAGGTTTCTTGCACACAACAATGAACAAGTTTTTTTTTAATGTATGGTATGGTAACCCCGCCTGCGCTAACGGTATACGCTGGCGGGGCACCAGTAAAGGATGATAGGTGAGGATGAAACAAGTCAGTTAGCCCATCGTGACGAATTCAACGAGAATTGTTCGCGATGGTTTCCAGGGGGAACCACGTGGAGGTCGACCTGATAGGACTGATATTGCTAGCAATGGAGCTGTCAAACTCCATTGCTAACAATCCCTTTCCCCCTGAACAAGTGTTATTAATAATTATTGTTATTATGCATTTATTGACTTTTTTTCTGGTTTAAACGTAGAGATATATCAGGTAAATTGGAACGAAAGGATTGTTTTGCGGACTGTCACTCCCGTTACTAGTAATATACCCTGTCTCTTTTTAATAAATGATAATGGATTGATAACCCCACCTGCGCTATCGGTATACACTGACGGGGCACCAGTGAGGGATGATAAGTGAGGATGAAAAGGCAGATCAGTTAGCCTATCATGACGAATTCAATGATAAATTAGTAACAATAGTTTCCAGGGGGAATCGTGTGGAAGTCGACCTGGTAGCGTATATTAATAGCAATGGGGACTAACCTCCCATTATTAACAATCTCTTCCACCCAATATACCCTGTAAGGAGGACCTCCACGTGATCCCTCTTGGAAACCAATGTGCTGAATTCTAGGTGTATTTATCACAATGGGGTAACTGACCTGCCCTTTCTTTTTTACTTCTTTTTACTGGTGTCCTGCCAGCATATATCGATAGCGCAGGCGGGGTAACCATTCCATTATCATCCATTGCTATTGTATTGCAAATTTGTAGTACATTTCTAAAAGGCCCTCTAGGTATTTATTTGTGTACTTATTATTAGTTTAACAAATAACGCCTGGTATTAAAAAATAGCAACGAAAAGCAGAAAATCGAAGTATCCTACATTAAATACGAACAGGCGCTAGCAGTGCTTGTAAATATCATGCTGTACGCTAGATGGCGTTAGTTGACATGCAATATTGGTCTTTTGACTAGTGAAAAGCGAATAGGTAATATTTGTAATAGACTACATTTTTATGATTTTGTAAGTAATTAATAGCAAATATTAATGTTATATTTATTACTAGTCGCTAAGTAATTTGTTGAGTCAGTTCGAAACAAACTTCGTTAAAAATTTCGAAATAAACTACAATTTGGTTCTTTTGCGGAAACGAATAGAGTTCACTTTGCTTGTATTTTTATTTTTGTCGTTGCACCCTTTTTTCCTCAGAATACCACAATTCAATCTCAAAAAGATCAAAGTTCATCTCAAATGTATTCTTATCCTCTTTATATAAGTAAGACGTAATTATATAAAAAGATCAAATTTAATGTTTTAAGAAACAGTACCTAGACTTACATATAAGCCTAATTGGTCAAAAACGAAAACATTTACATTCAAGTAACAGGAAGTTTTTGTATATCACAAATGTGACAATCATACATATGGCCTGCTTGATAGTAATTCTATATTCTTGCAATATCAAAAATATCATATTAAAAAGCATTTGAGAGTCTTTTTACGGATGATAATGGAATGGTAACCCCGTCTGCGCTAACAGTATACGCTGACGGGGCACCAGTGAGGGATGATAGGTGAGAATGAAAAGACAGGTCAGTTAGCCCATCGTGATGCCCACTTGGAACTCAGTATGACGGTTTTCATGGAGGACCACGTGGAGGTCGACCTGGCAGGGTATATTGTTAGCAATGGGACTGGTAGTCCGCATTACTAACAATGCCTTCCCTCCTATTTGAGAGCCTTGTTAATATATAGAAATAATTTAGAAATTAAAGCATATAACAGCAAATAATTTAGCAACAAGAATTAAAATAAAAAACTAAGTGGAATTGCATATATAGCGCATTTTTTAGAACATTCATGACAATAAATTTGCATTAATTACCTAACCGGTATAGTTTAAACTAACCTAGGTACTTAACTAGACATCTAGATATCTACTAAATTTAAAGCATAAGTATAATGCTTATGTGATTTTTAGTCAAATGTATTTAAAAAAAAATAAATATAACGTCTAGACACGGAATATCATTTTTTTTATACAACTTAGAATGGCAAACAAGCTGACGGCCCACCTGATGGAAAGTGGTATACGTCGCCTATAGACATGAGCAGTATCATGGACATAACAGAGTATACTGTTTCGCTCATGATGCCCCCCACGCGTTGCCATTCCTGAGGACTCAGGTGTTATTCCTCTGTACCCAGTAAATTCACGCCATATCCCACCCTTCAAACCGAAACACAGCTATGCAAACACAGCTGCTTCACGGTAGAAACACGAATGGGACAGAGGTACCCACGCAATCGACTTTTGTACAAAGTCTCCCTCTGGTTTGTTTGTTTTACGTTAGTTTTATTTCTATTTTGCAACTAGATATGTGTTACTTTTACAACAAAATAACATTTTGGGGCCACTAGTCCCTATTAGTAAAGAATTGTTTAGTATTATATTATCTGTGCTAATAGGGACTAGTGGCCTCATAGCTAGCAGTCCGAGGACAATCTCCACGCGAATGCTATCGTGGTTTCCAAAGGCAGGGTTTTTTTTAATGGATGAAAATGAAATCGTAACCCCGCCTGCGCTAACGGGATACGCTGGCGGGGCACCAGTGAAGGGTGATAGATGAGGATGAAAACAAGTTAGCCCATCATGATGAATTCATCTGGAATTAATCATGACAGATTCCAGGGGGAACCACGAGGAGGTCGACCTGGTTGGGTATATTGCTAGCAATGGGATTCTCAGTCTCCATTACTAACAATCCCTTTCCCCCATACCAAAGGCAGGGTTGCCAATTGCGAAATATTTTTGATCAAAATGTCAAACATATTTTCTCCTAAATCGATAGTACAGAGTTTACAAGTACTAAAACTATTACACAAAATTTCCAAAAAACATAACCTAAAATTTCTCCAAGCCTATTTCATTTTTCTTCAAAAATTTCTCTAAGAATTTCTTTTCCCCAAAATTGCAAAAAAAAATACCCAATCTGCCATCCAGAAGAAACCGTGTAAAGGTTACCCCTGACTTCATCTTCATCTTGATAGATGAAGATGCTAATATTGCTATTTTTTTTTTATTTTTAATAATGATTTATTAAAAATAAAAAATATTAGCAATTGTTAATTCTGCTATTAATAATCTCTTTCCATTGTGATTAATTCTTGGTGAATTTTTTACAATGGGTCAACGGATTTGATTACGTCCTCACCTAATCTTATTCACTTGTACCTTGTAAGCGTATAATGCAGACGGGATTATCATGCCATTTTCATTCCATTAAGAAAGTAACATATGTTTATGACTACGTTATGGAGGTTTAAAATTGATATACCAAGTAATGGCAGGTAAAATTTAATTTTTCAAACTCTCTCCCTTATACTAGGATACCCTTTGTATTCTTTCGTTGAATTAATAAAATTGAACGTAAAATATAAAACCATATACTTTGCTCGCTCATATTTTAATAATTACGTTCATTGACGCGACAAAAAATGAAAGAAAAATGAAAAGCTGTTACTCGGTTAATATTTTTATATTATTTTTGCTAAAATGTTCAGCTTATTTATAAAGTGTTAGAAAGAATTTTCTCTTTACTTCTATAATCATAATCATCATAACAGCTTTTAACTGTTCACTGCTCAACATAAACCTCCCTTAGGTTTTTTTTTTTTGATGGGTGAAAATGGCATGGTAACCCCGCCTGCGCTAACGGGATACGCTGGCGGAGCACCAGTGAAGGGTGACAGATGAGAATGAAAACAGGCCAGTTAGCCCATCATGATGAATTCGTCAGGAATTAACCATGATAATTTCCAGGGGGAACCGCGAGGAGGTCGACCCGGTTGGTTA